TTTCCCGGTCGGGCTCTCCTGCACCTGCTCTGAAGCCAGCGGGGCCTCAACATTGCAGACACAGGAGGAGGAAGGTGGTTCTCACTCTCTGTCCCACCTGGGACTGTGCAGGTTTGGGGCGGGTCTCAGCAGAATCATGGATGTAATGGGGGGGCGGGGGGGGGAACCAGGGGCAGGAATGAGGCAGATGGGGCCCTCAACCCGATCACGGCACCGTGGGGGTCCCTGCCCAGGTGCAGCTACCCCTGACCCTAGAGCTCTCCCAGAAGGGCCCTCTGGAGACTCAGGGCCTCTGTCTTTGCCAGGAATGCCCTTGCGTCTCTCCCTCACGCCATGGGGCACAGCTGGTCCCATCTGCTCAGTGGGCTGGCATGCACCTGGCTTCGTGCTACCTCGTCTCACTAGGCCAGGAGCAGGCTGGCTTCCTGGACCCAGTGCGGGCCTCACAGGGCACTTACTGGCGTGGATGCTGATGAAGCAGATGTGTTCTCAGTGCAAATGTACTGGACCCATGAAGTCCCTGGGGAAGTCCTGTGCGGGTGGAACATGGCGAGTTCTGAACCTGAAATCCCCACCACAAACACCCAGTTATGCCTAGAAAACTCTTCCAGCCCAGGTGCAGTCCGGGGTTGTAGTAAGAGCTCATTTTAAAAGAAGAAAATGCTCATCTTCTAACCGGGGTAACATTTTCATAGTCTCCCCCACCCCTTTTTAATGTTAAACACGGACATCACATTTTAATAGAGTGATCCGAATCAGTGTCACCAGTAACTGGGCAAAGTGACATCGCATGCCTCCTGACAGGGGAGCATAACTGCGATTATCCAGCATAAATTCCAGAATGCAGAATTTGGATCCAACAGTGAGAAAAATGTCAGACAAACCCAAACTGAGAGGAATTCTACAAAAAGGAGCAAGATAAAGACTGAGAAACTGTTTCAGACCAGAGAAGCCTAAAGAGACATGAAAATGAGTTATAATTCATGACCTGGTGGAATCACCTGCATTAGGGCATAAAGATATTATCAGAACAAATAATAAAATTTGAACAAGATTTGGAAATTAGATAATAATATTTTTGTTCCTCCTTAATTTCCCAATTTTGATCATATACACATGTAAATTATTTAGGAATAAAGCAGCATCATGTCTGCAACTTCCTCAGGTAGTTTAGAAAAAAAATATGCATTTTATTTATGCATGCACGCACATGTAAATTTATACATACACACAAGTAAAATGAGAAAGGACGGTGGGTTGCATATGGCAGAATGTTAACAACTGATGAATACAGGTGAAGTATAGGAACTCTTTGTAATGTTTCAATAATTATTGCAATAATAGCAAAATTACAAGTGTCTGTGTGTCCATGTACTAGTGCCTCTGTGCATGTGTATTGTGTGTGCATGTACATACTCAGGTGCATGTTCATGTATGTGTGGGTGGGTGTGTTCTTCTCGAAGACTCACCAATGCCCACAAAGAAGTTGTAGTTTATAACCTGGGTCAAAAGAAAAAGAAACTGGGCCGGCCCGGTGGCGCACTGGATAAGTGCGCCGCTTGGGAAGCGCGGTGGTGCTCCCGCCCGAGGGTTTGGATCCCACATACAGACCGGTTCCCGCTCACTGGCTGAGCGAGGCACGGGGGCAACACCGAGGGTTGCAGTCCCGTTGCTGGTCCCCGGTCCGGTACGGGGGCAACACTGAGGGTTGCGATCCGTTGCCGGACACGGAAAAAGATAAAAGACAAAAAAAAAAAAAGAAAAAGAAACTGTATATACACAGGACTTTTCTCTTAGGTTTCTTATGTGGGCAGGTATCACGGATTAAAAACAAATATTGAAATGATTAAGAGATATAGTTCACGGAAGTTTGCTTTCAATGTGTCTTTTTAAAAAGTTGAACTGAAAAGTAGATAGCAATCAACATTCAGTCCTGTCAAACCTCAATCTTTTTTTCTTTCTCTGCTAAATTTTAGACATGGCTTTGGGGCTCAAACAAAAACAGATAAAGCTTACAATGTATTGAGCTTTGTCAGCCCAGGGCCGTGCCTGGTGTTCTCAGATGGAAACGTATCTGGAAGGCAGTGTGTCAGCAGCTGCTTAAAGCAGCTGACCAGCCCAGGGCAAAGGCTCGTGCAGGACAGGGTGCACAGAGCTGGTCTCACAGACGAAGGCCTTCAAGCACTTTGGCTTTTCTGAGCAAACGAACAGGAAAATGGGCTCTGCTCCTTCATAAGAAGCTACAAGGAGCCTGGTAAAGTTGTCTGAAAATGGATGTTTTTTTAAAATCTGAGAATAGATGAATCGGCTTTTCCCAAAGGTTTTCGAGAGAACAATTCTCTGCAAACACAGAATGACTTCTCTGCCATGTTTGTGGAAGAGCATTATGAATTGAACAAACCAGTGAGAATATAAAACAAAAACAAGACAACACAAGTAAAAACAGATGCAGGTTTCATCAGACAAAATAACAAGGATGTAAATGACATGGGTCCAAGCCCCCCCAGCTTTAATATTAAGGGGGCTCCGACGGTAGTTTGAATAAAGCCAAAACAGTGGAAATCGAGGCTAGCAGAGGGGTCTAGGAATGCAAAGGGGACATGAGACCATAGGCATGGTCACCACAGGGCCCAGCTGCTGAGCGAGACTTGTGCACGAGGGCCCCAGCGCATGCAGACGGGCGCTGCCAGCCCTCCCAGCATAACAGGAAGGCCTCCCGCCTGCAGGAGCCTCTCACTCCCCAGATGGTGTCCTGTGACTCCCTGCTCTGGCCATGCACGTGTTGTGGACATGTGGGAAACTCAGCACACATTTTTAAAACCAAATCTGATATATCTGACATGCTTATTTGATAGGTTTACTTCTCATGTTTTATCTGTGAGTACAGATATATAGGCTAACACAGAAGTATTTAGATTTGCATTAGGTTTTTAAAAAAATTAGGAGCACACCTTACATGATGGTTGTTTCCTTTTCTTTTACATAGTGTTTTAGTTATCATGTATATATCCCATGTCACTACATATTCCTCAAGATCACGCCTTTTATCTATTTATTTTTTGGCTCTGTAGCATTCCTCGGTATGTTATACCACAATTCAATACATCCGCTATAGCTGAATATTTTGTTTCCAATTCTCACTAGTGTGTAAGTAATTTAGCATGTGTTAGGCTCACCACAACTGGCTGTGGAAAGGAGGAAAAGAAGAGGAGGGAGCGGGGCCCTTCCCGACACGCACCTTCGCAGCAGTCCTGCCACACGCGGAGGTTCCCCCTGGGGATGTCAGCACAGCTGCTGTACCTGTGTGGGAACTCCGCCACCCTGAACACGTCCCCCTGCACATGTGTGATGTTGTCCAAGTTGTCGCACAAGTTCCTGGCCAGGGACGTCTGCTTGAGGTGGGTCAGCTGGGCGGGGGAGAACACCTCTGGGTTTTCATAGCACAACCTGGATTCCCCCAAAGTGGGAGCAGGGTCAGAGAAAGACAAGGACACTCACGGGTCACAGGGGCTGGGTTGCAATATTCACCCAACACCACAGACATCCCTGGTTTCAGTTAGGAATCAATTAAAAATTAGCTCAGACATGGCTCATTTCCTATCACGAAAACGGAAACGAAAGTGGAGTCTGGAATATAAAAGATGGTTGGTGGCTTTCCTGGCTAGCAAAAAGAAGAAAGGCCATGTTCACAAACAGCT